TTCAGACATGGTAGTTCTTATTACTAATTTCATCAACTTGCTAATTTTTTTTTCACTAAATCGACCTTTTTTATTCCTATTTCTGGAAATTATCTTTTCATACTATCTGACTTGGAAGTAGAAGTTACTTAACTTCATAAAATGACCCTTAATAATAATAACTCCAAAAGGCTTTTTAACCAAAGTTTAAAGAATGCCTTTTTTTTTTCTTCCATAGCTTTCTTCTTTACAATAATTCTCATCACAAAACTTCAGGAAATACAGAATACTATAAAGAGGAAAATAAAGATTACCTGTAATTCCACCAGACTTCTAAATACATATGCATCATATGTTTTGTTTTAGTTTGTTTGGTTTTTTTATGGCTCGTCAGTACAGGAATACAAACCCTTGACCTTGGTGTTATAACATGATTTTTAAATGAAGTAGTTTCCTGGGTTTTTAAAACTTGCTCTTTCACTTAATTATATGTTTTGGACATCTTTGCATATTAATAAATGTAGATATGCCACATTATTTTTTCTTTAAAAATATGGAGAAACAGCAGTATTTATAATAGCAAAGATAAATTTCTTTAGGGATTTTTTTAAATCGAGGAATAACACACATGAAGTGCATAAAATTTCATGTGTATCTCAATACATTTTTACATATGTCAGTGTCTAAGTCTGGTTGGGCTTCCATAACAAAATTCCATGCACTGGGTGACTTAGAAACTTATTTCTCACAGTTTTGAAGTCTGGGAAGTCCAAGATCAAGGAGCCAGGAAGGTAGGTTTCATTCCGAGGCCTTTTCTCTAGACTGCTGCTAGATGGCTGCTATCTTGCTGTGTTCTCACATGACCTCTTCTTTGTACAAGCAGGGAGAGTGAGCAAGCTCTCTGGTGTCTCTTTTTAGAAGGGCACTAATTCTGTTGGATCAGGGCTCTACCCTTATGACCCCATTTAACCCCAATCACTTCCTTAAAGGCCCTATCTCCAATATAGTCACATGGGGTGGGGGAAGACTTCAACATATGAATTTTGAAGATGAATATTAACATGAACACAAATATGAGTAAGAACAACACAAATATGAAGAATTAGTCAATAGCAGTAAGACTTATTTTTTAAGGCAAATAAAGCTTTATATGTAATAAGGTTATATAGCTGCATACACAAATCAAAATAAAGAATTAAAGGACTTTCCTGGAGAAATGACTTACATGAATCCTTTGGAATTTGTTCCCTACTAAGAACAGAAGCTCCATGTGGCCAAAGGTTTGTGCCTTTTCTTTTTTTTTTTTTTTTTTTAAGAAGATGACCGGTAAGGGGATCTTAACCCTTGACTTGGTGGTGTCAGCACCACGCTCAGCCAGTGAGCGAACCGGCCATCCCTATATGGGATCCGAACCCGGGGCCTTGGTGTAATCAGCACCGCACGCTCCCGAGTGAGCCACGGGCCGGCCCCAGGTTTGTGCCTTTTCTATTCATTGCTAAATCCTCATGCTTAGAACAGTGTATAGCATGTAACCTGTGTTCAGTATTTATTGAATGAATAAAAGTTTTTCCTTCCTTCCTTCTTCTTTCTTTCTTTTGGATCTGGGATGCACCATATCAGAGCTTAGGAGCCACACATCACTACAGATCATTAAAACAGATTGCCTTGATTGAACTTTGGCTCTGGCACTTACTAGCTCTTTTACCTTGAACAAGTTACTTAAGCTCTCTGTGACTTAGTTTTCTCTACTGCAAAATGGGTATTTTAGGGATGTTGTGAGGATTCAATTAAAAGGTTAAAATATTTACAATAGTATCTAGTATGTAGTAGGTAGAAGAAGATACCTGGAAGTAGGTAATGAATCTTACATATTATTTTTTATTTATGGCTAATTCTCCTTTTAATGTATGTGGTCATAACTTCAGAAAATATGAAGTCAGTAATATGGAATATTTTTGCCTTTGTTTATCAGGAAGAAAAAGTGAGGCACAGAGATCAAATGACTTGTAAGTGTGATAGCCAAGGGCTGTATCCTACTGGAATAATATATTTTTCAGGAATTGTTTAATTGGCTTTTAAAATTGTTAAATTGGTGATTTACAAGCTATGAACCGAGGTTGAGCCCCTAAATTCTATTTGCACATGCGAAATTATCTAAAATCACTAACTTATGGATTATAACTTTTTTTGTGTGTGGCTGGCTGGTAAGGGAATATCACCCCTTGACCTTTTGTTATGACTTTTTAAATTACAAATTTATAGTCTCCTTTAGTCATTAGGTATTTTCTGAAGCAGTGGAAGCTGAAAGTACAGCAATTAACATGCAGAATCCCCTAACCTCTTGGTTGATGAAAGGGGTGGGGGTGGGCCTCTTAAAAAAAATCGGAAACCACTATTTTAGGGGCTCCTAATATGTAATATAAGGAAACTCTTGTAATTTCATATATAATATGTTGTAAATCGTGGTCTATTAGTCATGCATAACTGTAGAGAATCTCTCTTTGGAGTTTGCAAGTAACTGAAAACCAAAGCTCCACCTTCGCCTGGAAGGGTGAGGAGTAGAGGGAGTGGCGAGGCCGGCAGCACGATGAACTACAACTCCCAGGATTCGTTGGTGGGAGTTCCTGGGAGTTGTGGTTCTTTCCCCGTCGGTCCTTCCGTCCCTTCCACCATCGCAACCCACGCCCTTGGCTCCCGCTCTCAGTAAGTACTGCGCGTGGTCGTCTCATGAGAATTTCTTTCTCCGGGGGGGGGGGGGGGAAAAAAGGGGGAGAAAAAAAAAAGAATTTCTTTCTCTCTCTGTCATTTCTCCCATTTTGGTTCATTGTTACGCACTCCCAAGGACTCCTCCCCGGGAGAAAGGTGGTGAGGGAGGAGGAGCCGGGAGCAAGCGTTAACCCGGAAGGAGTGATTCAGGAAGTGAGTCATCCGGGTCTGTGGGGCTGAAATGTAGAGGGTCCCAGAAGGTTCCGAGCTCAGTAAGGAAAGCTAACGTCCTTATTTCTTTTTCTTAGGCACTCAGAATTCTTTCCTGATCTTAACAGGACTTTATTTTCCTGTTTTTTACCCCGTATTGCCCTCTTATGGAATCTCTCCATATATTGAGTTTCACAGTATAATTTGTACATGCAGCTCCAGCGCCGGCGTAGTCACTGCTGACACTGAGAATTGTTCCTATAATATTAGTAATACTGTTATTGTGGGTGATGGAGAAGTCGTGCTGTTCTTAAGTACAGATAACCCCAGAGAGTAAACGTCTTGGTGTTTTTACTTAACGTTGAGGTTCATGACTTTGAGAGTTATTAATTTTGATACTGCTCCTAATTTGGAAATTTTAGCTAGAAGTATTCCCCCAAAAGTATGTTCGTCATTCTTTTATTCTGTCCACTATCAAATGGACACACCTCGCCTGGTGTGTGGTGAGACTAGATGTAAAGACAGAAACTTCTGCTGGGGGAGTGTTAACACTTGTGGCTAGTGGGCATTGGTGCATTCTTCAACATTCCTTTTTATTATTTTATTTTTTATTTTATTTTTTATTTTTTAAAGATGACCGGTAAGGGGATCTTAACCCTTGACTTGGTGTTGTCAGCCCTATATGGGATCAGAACCCGTGGCCTTGGTGTTATCAGCACCACACTCTCCCGAGTGAGCCACAGGCCGGCCCCAACATTCCTTTTTAAAATGCGATTCAGTATGTTAAAATCTGTCAGTATAACCTTGCAAACTTTGACTATTTTAGATACCATTCTGAATATTTTGTTTCCTAGGCAATAATGCTAAATTAGCAGACTTATACAGATCAAGTTACCTAATATATATGAGTGCATCTCCTAGCATAGTAGGAACACTGGAGACAGTAAAGGTTGATTCTGATAAATTTTGACTCTTATTTCAACTTTCAACCTCAGGATTTTAGGGGCACAGTGTTCTTAGAACACTTCATATTTTCCTTTTCTTACTCAATAAAATCATTGTATGCTTTTGTTCTTGGTTATTTCTGTTGGAGGAGGGAGACAGATAATGATTGTACACAGCCAATTTCACTTAACCTGTAATTTTTTTAAAGTAACCCTTTTAAAAATTATTATAAAAGTATATGTGTAGAAGATTTGGAAAACATTGAAAAGTAGGAAAAATAGAAAGCAAACAAAAGGTATCCATAATCCCACAATTAGAGACCATCTTATTAACATTTTGATATGTTTCTTTTTTTAGTTTTCTTTTAAAAAAATTACTCTACTTTTTTTTTTACTTGTATACTGTATATTGTAGATTTTTTTGAAAACATAATTGAGATTATATAGTTTTGCATCCTGCTTTTTTTACTTAAAATAATTATCGCCATTGTCCCTTTTTCACCAGACCCATTTTCTTGGTATATTAATATGTGAAGTTTCCTCCTTTAGGATCTCAGCTAAAAGGGAAGGACCTTTGAAAAGTGACTGCAAAATTGAGAATGAAAAGCACTGAGCTTGGAACAGGCAACTTGCATTCTAATACCAGCTGTGTCTCTATCCAACTGAGTGAATAATCATGATTGAGTTACATCCTCAGACATCTAGATACCTAAAATTACAGAATTAGGCAATATAATATTCCATATTTTTCTCAAACTTTTGAAATCTATGACTGTGTGAACCACGTAAAGTTTGCATGGTTATTTCATAGATTTCAAATGCTTATTTACACATTCAATTCTAGATTCTGGATACTTTGCAGAAAATAGCTGATTTAACCTGTTCTATTGACATAGTCCTTAGTTATACTTGTACCCATTTGCTTTAATTATATATTTTAGGTGTGTAGAAAACAGCGCTGTTTTTGTTGCTTTTAATGTTATTTTTCAGAAGTTTAAAGAATTATTTTCTTTTTGTCTATTATCGAATTTTGGGACTGCGTTGGAGCTGGCTGAAGCAGTGAACTAAATGAGATTTCTGGAAGCTCCTTTCAGCTTTATTATGCCATATAACTTTAGAGTTGATTTTTTAAAGACTGTGTTTATTATATTTCAGATGCTGAGATGAATCGTCACCTGTGCATTTGGCTTTTTAGACATCCATCTCTTAATGGTTACCTCCAGTGTCACATCAATCTCCATTCTCATCAATTTAGACAAATACATCTTGATACCAGGCTGTGGGATTTTAGACAAAATAGGAATCACATTGTCCATCATCTTTTAAATAAGAATTGGTCCAGGAGATATTGTCATCAAGACACCAGAATGCTCTGGCAGCATAAAGCACTACAGAAATATATGGAGAACTTGAATAAGGAGTACCAAACACTTGAGCAGTGCTTACAGCATATCTCTGTGAATGAAGGGGACCGAAGGTCCTTGAACCAAAGGCATGCTGAGTTGGCACCCCTTGTGGCCATTTACCAAGAAATTCAGGAGGCTGAACAAGCAATTGAAGAATTGGAATCAATGTGTAAAAGTAGGTAAAATATATGTGTGTATAAGTACAGGATTGATTTTCTAAGTTAAAGCTTCATTGAACTTGGTCTTTTAAGTAATAAGCTCAACACTTGGAAAGGATAGGACTCAGGGTATTTGATGTATTTTAGCTACTAAAGATCAACTAGTAAGTGACTGGGCTCCTTGTGGTGCTTGCTAGGAAGTTCTTGGGTCTGGGAGACTCGATATTGACCTTTTCAGATGCTTTAATTTATCGAACAGACCTCTACTGAGCACTGTCCTGCATACCAGGAACACAGAACTATAGTTCCTACCCCATTAAAGGCTTTATATGGTCTAGTAAGAGTGACTGTATTTATTTAAGTATTATTTATAATATGATACCTGCTCTATTAGAGGAAGACATAGGGTTTCACAGGAGCAAAAGGGAGGGGCACTCAAACCAGACTGGGTAGATTAGGTAAAGCTTCCTGGATGAGACCACACATTAGTGGAGCCACGAAGGAAGCTTGATATTTCATATTGTAAATCTTGAAGTTATTCTTTAAAGTTTATTCCAATTGTAGATTATTTCAAATTTGTATGTTTTATAGCTGGAAATATTTTCTAGGACAAACAGCTGACAAATTTCTTAGAACTATGGAACTACTCATAGTTAACCATTAGCAAATAATAAGTCTAAGTGTCTTCACTATTACTTTAAGCACTGAACAGAGCATCTCCACTCAGATAAGGTCCCCATTCTCCAGATGTTTGAACACTACCAACCAGTTTTTCAAAGTAATTTTACCTAACCATTAGCAAATAATAAGTCTAAGTGTCTTCACTATTACTTTAAGCACTGAACAGAGCATCTCCACTCAGACAAGGTCCCCATTCTCCAGATGTTTGAACACTACCAACCAGTTTTTCAAAGTAATTTTACCTATTTTTTCAGATCTTCTAAAATTTGAATTGGGTACCGCACTGGGATTTGAAGGTGGATGTATCTAAATACTGCTTCTAGATTTCGTCTAGAAATTTAATTAATTTTTTTTCAGGGATCTGGTAAGGTTAATTCAGTCATTAATTCAGCATTTATTGAGAGCTTACTATACGCCAGGCATTGCTGTAGGAAGTAGGGCTAAAAAGATAAGCAAGCCCTAAGGAGCTTACCATCTAATTTGGGAGACATACTACGTATAAGCAAAAGGCAGTATGATAAATGTCAGACTCACAATATAAATCAAACACTGTAGTGGCCCAAAGAAAGGAGTGATTAATTCTGTCAGAAATGGGTGGGATGGGGCCGGCCCCGTGGCTCACTCGGGAGAGTGTGGCACTGGTCGCACCGAGGCCGCGGGTTCGGATCCTATATAGGGATGGCCGGTGCACTCAGTGGCTGAGCGTGGTGCAGGCCACACTGTGCCAAGGGTTGGGATCCCCTTACTGGTCAAAAAAAGAAATGGGTGGGATGAAATTTTAAGTTAGGTTTTGAAGAATTATTTCTCTGGTGAGAAAAGAAGGATGGACATTCCAGATAGAGGGAAGAGTATGAGCAAAGCTAAGGAAGGGTGAAAATGTGTAACAGTGTCAGCATGTAGTTTATGATGCAGGGTGACAGCAGCTTAGCCTGTCAAGATTGTCCTGCTAAGGAGGTTTGGAGATTCACACAGGTGTAGATATTACACAAGTAGACCACAGAAAAGGGATTTTCTAACCAGTGGAGATACGTTTTTTTTTTTTTTTTTCCACACCTCTTGACATATAATTCACATGCCACACAATTCACCTGTCTAAATGGCTTTTAGTAGATTTACAAACTGTATAACTAACTAACCATTACCACAGTCAATTTTAGAACATTTTCATCACCCTAAAAAGAAAACCCTAAGTCTTACCCTGAGCCCCCCCTTCCCTGCTAGATCTAGGCAACCACTAATCTACTTTCTGTCTATAGATTTACCTATTTCAGGCATTTTATATAAATGGAATCAAACAATATGTTGTCCTTTGTGACTAGCTTCATTCACTTAGCATAGTATTTTTAAGATTCATCCATGTTGTGCCATGTATTGCCACTTTATTTCTTTTTATTACTGAATTATATTTCTTTGTATGGATATACCACATTTTATTTATCTATCAGTTGGTGGACATTGAGTTGTTTTCACTTTTTGGCTATTTTGAATAATGCCCTATGAACATTTGTGTACAAGTATTTTGTTTGTTTGTTTTTTTTGGCAGCTGGCCAGTATGGCAATCTGAACCGTTGACCTTGGTGTTACAACACTGCAGTCTAACCAACTGAGCTAACCAGCCAGGCCCTTGTTGTTGTTTTGATTTGCATTTCCCTGACGATTAATGATGTTGAACATCTTTTCATGTGCTTATTGGCCATTTGTATATCATCTTGGGAGAAATGACTATTCAGATCCTTTGCCCATTTTTAAATTATTTGTCTTCTTATTGAGTTGTAAGTGTTCTTTATGTTTTACATGCAAGTCCCTAATCAGATATATGATTTGAAAATTTTTCTCCCATTCCATGGTTTATCTCTTCTGTTTCTTGAAGATGTCCTTTAGAGCATGACAGTTTTTAATTTTGACCTTGGAGTTACCAGCACTGCACTCTAATAAGCAGCTGAACTAATAACCTACCAGCCCAGTTTTTAATTTTGATGATGTCCAGTTTATCCTTTTTTTTTTCCTCTTATTGCTTGAATTTTGGGTGTCACATCAAAGACACTGTTGCCTAATCCAAAGTCACAAAGATTTACATCGATGTTTTCTTCTAAGAGTTTTTTTTTTTTAGCCTGTACATTTAGGTCTTTGATCTATTTTGGTTAATTTTATATATAGTGTGCTTATTTATTTATTTATTTATTTATTTGTTGGCAGCTAGCTGGTACAGGGATTGAACCCTGGACCTTGGTGTTGGCAGCACCATTCTGCAACCAGCTGAGCCAACTGGCCAGCTCAACAGAGTGTTTATTTTTATTTTTTATTTTTATTTATTTTTTTTATTTTGTCAATATACACTGTATATGATTATTATGGCCCATCACCGACACCTCCCTCCCTCCTCCCTCTCTCCCCTCCCCCCCAAGAATGTCCTTTCCGTTTGCTTGTTGTAACAACTTCATGGAAGTATAGTTGTTATATCTTCTTCCCCACCCCACCCCCCTCCGGTTTTATTTTGGGATAGCTGGGTCATATGGTAGATCTATCTGCAACTGTTTGAGGAACCTCCAAACCATTTTCCATAGGGGTTGCACCATTGTGCATTCCCACCAACAATGTAAGAGAGTTCCTTTTTCTCCGCAGCCACGCCAGCATTTATCTTTCGGTGTCTTTTGGATTTTTGCCATCCTAACTGGGGTGAGATGGTATCTCAGTGTGGTTTTGATTTGCATTTCCTGGATGCTGAGTGATGTTGAGCATTTTTTCATATGACTGTTGGCCATTTGCATATCTTCTTTAGAGAAATGCTTACTTAGTTCTTTTGCCCATTTTTTGATTGGGTTGCTTGTTTTTTTCTTGTAAAGTTGTTTGAGTTCTTTATATATTCTGGATATTAGTCCTTTGTCGGATGTGTATTTTGCAAATATTTTCTCCCACTCTGTTGGTTGTCTTTTAGCTCTGTTAATTGTTTCTTTTGCTGTGCAGAAGCTTTTTAGTTTGTTATAGTCCCATTTGTTTATTTTTCCTTTGGTTGCCCGTGCTTTTGGGGACATATTCATGAAGTCTGTGCCCAGCCCTATTTGCTGAAGGGTTTCTCCTATGTTTTCTTTAATAAGTTTTATTGTTTCGGGGTGTATATTTAAATCCTTGATCCATTTTGAGTTGATTTTAGTATATGGTGAGAGGTATGGGTCTAGTTTCAATCTCCTGCATATGGATATCCAGTTATCCCAGCACCCTTTGCTGAAGAGGGAGTCCTGACCCCAGTGAATAGGCTTGGTGCCTTTGTCGAAGATCAAATGGCAGTAAGTGCGTGGGTTGATTTCTGGGTGTTCTGTTCTATTCCATTGATCAGTGTCTCTGTTTTTGTACCAGTACCATGCTGTTTTGGTTATTGTGGCTTTGTAGTATAGTTTAAAGTCAGGTAGAGTAATACCTCCAGCTTTATTTTTTTTTGCTCAGCGTTGCTTTGGCTATTCTTGGTCTTTTGTTATTCCAGATAAATGACTGTATAGTTCTTTCCATTTCTGAGAGAAATGTCATTGGAATTTTGATGGGGATTGCATTGAATTTGTATATTACTTTGGGTAGTATAGTCATTTTCACTATATTGATTCTTCCAATCCAGGAGCATGGGATGTCTTTCCATCTTTTTGTATCCTCTCTAATTTCTCTCAGGAGTGGTTTGTAGTTCTCGTTATAGAGATTTTTCACGTCCTTAGTTAGTTCAATTCCTAGGTATTTTATTTTTTTGGCGGCTATTGTGAATGGGCAGGCTTTCTTGATTTCTCTTTCTGCTTGTTCACTATTGGTGAAAAGAAATGCTGCTGATTTTTGTGTGTTGATTTTGTATCCTGCTACTGTGCTGAACTCTTTTATCACCTCTAAGAGTTTTTTAATAGATGATTTGGGCTGTTCGATATATAGGATCATGTCATCTGCAAACAGGGACAGTTTGACTTCAGAGTGTTTATTTTTATGAGGTATTTGTTTTTTATCTTAATTTTTAATTTTTGTATTTTTTAATATTGCTATTGCATCAACAGTTTTTTCTCTTACAAAAATTTTCCAAATTGTACAGAAATTGAGAGGAAATTACAATGAACTAACTCATGATTCAACATTTATCCATATTTTGCTATTGACTTTTAGTTTCTAAACTCTCTTCTGTTGCTCCATCCTGTTTCATGAAGCCTTAGAGGTATTAAGTGATGTCAAAGCCAGTCACTGATACACCTATAAAGTCCTAAATGTTCAAAGCCTTACATTTTCTTGCCTTCTGTTAGTGGCACCATGCGTCTCTGACATGGATTTAATGAGGATATTTTTTACTTTTTGCATATTGCTACTGAAATTTGTAACTAATTAGAGAAAGTTGCTTGCCCATAATAGGAGCTTACTAAATGCTTTCTAATTAAGTTGACATGACTTCTTTCAGCCTTGGATGTATCACGTGTAGTATTATTAGATTGGATTAGATTGTTTCTAAAGGCTCTACTAGCTATATGGTTCTGCTCTTCTATAATAATAGTGATAATAGCTACATTTACTTTGTCTATGTGCCAGGCACTCAGCTAAGTGATTCACAAATATTATGTCATTTGGATGCTCAGAGTAACCTTATGAGGTAGGAATTATTATTATTATCCCATTTTATAGATGAGGAAGCAGAGAAGTTAAATATCCAAAGATCACCCAGCCAGTGAGGGAAGGAGCAAGGATTTTAACCCAAGCAATAAGACTCCAAAGCCTCTGCTCTTATCCACTGCACGATGATTTGAAGTCCACTAGAGTCTCCCTCTGTAATGTATCTTGTATGAGTCACCTTCTCTACTTTCTCCTACTTTATATCTTCATTACATCTCTGACCTAGATGGTTATTATTAATTCCTAACTTGTAGTCCCACCTCTAGGCTTTTCCAGTGCAAGTACAATCTTAATCATGTTACTCACCTGCTCAAAATTTTTGGTAGTTCCCATTACCTATAAATAGATGTTTCTTGGTTTCACACTTAGAAACCTCTGCATAGTGACCCCAGCCTCTCTGTGTAGTATATTAATTCCCTTTGCATATTCTGCCTTCCTACCAAAATAGACATCTTGCCATTCCTTGAATATATTCATGCCATCCCATGTCTATGTCTTTGCTCATATTGTCAACCTAGCAGTTTCACCTTGTTAAAAGTAAGGGCACTTACAAAGTTTGGCTTGGATGTCATACTTTAGCTTCAGTCCCCTTTGAAAAACAAGTATAGTTACCTTTCTGTGTTTTGTATTATGATCCTTTGTGTAATTGCCTTAACCTCAGCCCCTAACCCCATTGCTCCTCAAGGACAGGTCCTGTGTCTTACTCATTTTTATATCCCTTGCATCACCAAACATAGGCTATAATAGATTCTAAAATCTTTGTTGATATAATAAAATTTAATTAGATTGGATTTTACAGTTTTACAACAAATAATAAGAGGCCACAAAAATAATTTTATATGATTGCATATCAGAAGGTTTTTCTGATACCTTTGAAACAAGCAGATAACTATTGAGTATTGTCAGCCTGGTTTCCGTTTTTGGCATATGTGCACAATGTGGTACCACCAGTGATACTACATTTCTGCATCAGATGATCCATAAGTAGAATTAGTTCAGATGAAACTTTAGTCGGGAAGCCTCTTAAGTGCTGAAGTCTGGGTTAGGCCCTCTTATTTATGCCCCCATGGCACATAGGCACTGCCCTTACAATATATTGTAACCGCATGTGTGTGTCCATCTTTCCCACCAGACTGAGCCTCTTGAGCCTAGAACCATGTTTTATTCATCCTTGTGTCCCCAGCAACTTAGAGTGTTTAGCACATAGTAAGTGTTAAATGTTGAAAGCATGAATGAGGTGCAGAATCCCACCAGACCCTAATTACTTCCATGAATAGAGAAGAATTTTAAAGCACTTTCTCCTCTTTATAATTATGATTCTTCAGTTCTATTTTCTTCTTTACATTTACTAAGAGCCAAAAATTTCTACCTCAGATTGCAGCTGTCACCACTAACAAGTAAAGTCTGCAGGCATCTAAAGCAGTGGAGTCATAGGTCATGGGATCCACCATGCTTGGCCACTGTATCATAGTTAACTTGTTTTGCTAGAGTTCCATGATTTAACTTTCTGCTTTTGAAATGATATGAAAAGGAAAGCACAAGTTACAAAAATGTGTTTTATTTGACCCACCTGGTGTTTTTAAAAAATATGTACTAGATATGAACATATCAAGAGACTTCAAGAGTTCTTATTTCTGACTTCTCTTGAACAAAATGGAGCTTTCAGCTGTGCCAGACCCACATCACAGTGAGCTAAATACGGTTACTGGCTTTAGACAGGAAGTGCTTACCTCAGTTTACTCCAAAACTTACCTTATTTGGGTCATATTTAATTAGCCAGTCCCTTTTAAACCTGTTTGATTAATCACTGATTTCTGTTAATAACTGTAGACATTCAAATCACAAGCTTTGTGTGGTAAGATCATACAGCTTTTCACATTGAGTTTTTTGAACATGCTTAGTAAATATTTGTTAATTGACATTCTCCAACTATTCTAATTGTTCTTTTGCATGATCCCTTGCCTTCCCAACTGAAATAAAACTCAGTAGGCAAAGATGAGGTGGCTAAATATAAGTTTCTCTGTAAGTATTTAAAAACTTTACCATTATTTCTGTTGCTGGTTTTTAGGCCTAAATAAACAAGACGAAAAGCAGTTACAGGAACTTGCATTAGAAGAAAGGCAAACCATTGATCAAAAAATCAACATGTTGTATAGTGAGGTATGTATTAGGACTTAGACTAATTTCAAGAGTGTTATATAAAGAAAAGCTGTTCTTGCTAGACTCTGCTTTGGTGATCAAAGTACTTTCCAAATGCTGGTTTATTAACTGTTCTCTTAGGATAAGTGATTAAATTGGTGCTATAATTTGCTGCAGAATGAGACTGAAGAAATTGTGATGTCAAGGAATAAAACAAAGACCCCCTGAGCAAAATCAAAGCTGAGTCTATTAACGAGAGAACCCATGCTGGTAAAGAAATTTAATTCACCATAGGGAGCAGTCTGGGGTTTTTAAGAGTTAGAAGGGGTGAATGGTGGGTGGGTTCCTGGAGATTGTGTTAATTGAGAATTGAAATTTGTACTCTGGATAGAATGGAATGAATCCAAGGGTGTAGAGACGGTTGGTTAACACAGGCTTTAATTAGGTCTAGTAATGTTCTGACATACTGGGGTCGCTAAAGGTTCATGATACTATTATCAGCATTAGCTGATATCTCCTAGACATGCAACTGGAAATTACCTTCAGTAGTGGTCTCCTTTCCCTCTATCTCAATAGATGGTTTGTCTACAAACCATGTTTCCTTCTCTCATATTTACCATCCTTCTACCTCAGTGTTCATTACTCTGGGAATTCAGGAGAGGGGCTTTTTGAGGGGTTAAGGAGATGAAGTGGAGGTATCACTTATTTTTATCACCGACTTAAGCAGTTAATCAAAAGCAGAAGTAAGATGCCCAACTGTCTAAAATTCTCTTCCACAGACTATATCATTTCTAGCAGAGGTAGAGTATTTCACAAATTGGCAGTAGGGAGAGTTGTGACACATAGGTACTTTTGGTTTGATTTGAAAGACCTTTTATTAATAATGAAATGGCTTCCCTTTTCTTCTTAAGAGGAAAGTTGGTTTCTTTCTTTATTAGGAAATTCCTTTTTTTCTTGTCACAGCTGGGAAACTCTATTTGAGCCTTATCTTGGGATTTCCTCAACATAGTCTTTAAACAGAATGACTGCTGAGAAAGCAAGGCATGGGCTGGTGTCTAGTGTCATTTATGGCAGGAAAAAAAAATAGTCATATGTAAAGTCTTCATTTTTTCCAAATGAAGACTTTCAAAGCCTTGCTTCATTCATTAGATGAAAGAAGCTACTGTTCAGAACTAATTATAAGGGGCAAAATCTGAAGAAAATTGAACAGAACTCTCTGGACTTTGATCTAAACTTCTGCATTTTAGAAAATTAAAATAATCTGATAGCATTGCAGAAAATATCCTGACAAGTAACTTCATTGTTAACATGAATTGATCACCTGTTTTAGGTCTAATTAGATCTCCTCTTGCAGCATTTAGAACTAATCCCACTGGGATGCTATATGATTTTGTTAATTACTGAATTTTTAGTGTTTTGGGGGCTTTTATCTAAGTTCAAGTAATTATAGTATACCAGGGAAAATATATACATCAAAGTTTATTTTTTTTTCTTTTCCAGCTTTTCCAGAGTCTAGTGCCAAAGGAGAAATACGACAAAAATGATGTTATTTTAGAGGTGACATCTGGAAGAACTACTGGAGGTCAGTAAAATTATTTTGTTGTAAATGAACTAAAAAATACATGAATTTTTACCTTGATTTAACGTCAATGTAACTGTAAAAATCCATTAAATGTTTGTAACTTTGGAAATAGTTACTCCTCATTTCCTAAGGGGCCCTTACCTAAGAATGGCTCTCTTTGAAATTTGTACTGACTGAATATTTTTGTATTTTCTTTTAGGTGATATCTGCCAACAATTTACCCAGGAAATTTTTGATATGTACCAGAATTATTCACACTATAAACGCTGGAAATTTGAACTTCTAAATTATACACCAGCTGATTATGGTAGGCATATTTGAGGATTTTGTCCATAGAAGATGCTGAAAATTACTTTACCTCTGATTTTGATTAGAATCATGTTGTCCCATTTTTTAAAATATGAGATCTGTATCTACTAAACACTGTGACATAGACCCATAAATCACAGTGGCTTACTATAGTAGAGTTTTTAGCTGGGAGAAGAGAGTGGCAAAGAGAAACATCCCCCTAGGAAGGAATATGAACTAGAGAAAATCCCCCTGTGGAGAGCAGATATTTACCTTGTCTTTTTTTTTTTTGTCTTTTTTTTTGTGTCCGGCAACGGATCGCAACCCTCAGTGTTGCGCCCGTACCGGACCGAGACCGGCAACGGGATCGCAACCCTCGGTGTTGCGCCCGCACCTCGCTCAGCCAGTGAGCGGGAACTGGTCTGCATGTGGGATCCGAACCCTCGGCGGGAGCGTCACCGCACTCCCAAGCGGCGCCCTGTAGCAGTGCGCCACCGGGCTGGCCCAATCAGGAATTTCTTTTTTTTTTTTTCTTTTTGTCTTTTTTTTTTTTCGTGATGGGCAACGGATCACAACCCTCAGTGTCGCGCCCGTACCGGACCGGGACCGGCAACGGGATAGCAACCCTCGGTGTTGCGCTCGCACCTTGTTGAGCCAGTGAGCGGCCGGTCTGTATGTGGGATCCGAACCCTCGGCGGGAGCGTCACCGCACTCCCAAGCGGTGCACTGTAGCAGTGCGCCACCGGGCTGGCCCTTTTACCTTGTCTTGAAAATCATCTCTGTTATCCAAAGCAAAGATATATTAAGGTTTTTGACAAGAACTTCTGTCATTTATGTGATACAATCAGAAAATATTATCAGACTAAGTGGCTAATGATGTATTGGATTTTTATGGGAGTTCAGAAAAGGTTAACCATTTGTCTGTATTTTCAAGAAACTTCCAGTCTAATTGAGCTGATAAAAAACTTATACAACATGAATAGTAACAAGCAGTACAAGTTCTTAAACTTTATACCAGGTGGTTTTTTTTTTTTTTTTTTAAAAGATGACCGGTAAGGGGATCTTAACCCTTGACTTGGTGTTGTCAGCACCACGCTCACCCAGTGAGCGAACCGGCCATCCCTATATGGGATCCGAACCCGGGGCCTTGGTGTTATCAGCACCACACTCTCCCGAGTGAGCCACCGGGCCGACCCCATATACCAGGTGGTTTTTTTGTTTGTTTTTTGTTTTTTAAAAGATAACCGGTAAGGGGATCTTAACCCTTGACTTGGTGTTGTCAGCACTGTGCTCAGCCAGTGAGCAAACCGGCCATCCCTATATAGGATCCGAACCCATGGCCTTGGTATAATCAGCACCACACTCTCCCGAGTGAGCCACGGGCCGGCCCTAAAATATATACCAAGTATGTTAATTCAGAACATCTGATAGTAATTCTCCCATTTTTTCCATTCTTTTAATTCATCTGAATGTTTTTGTCTGCTTGATTACACAGTGTACACTATAGCAGACAAAGAGGTCGTCAGTAATAAACCACAAACTATCAAAGTGGGGAAAGAGGATTCATATAAGTTAAACAACAGAGGGAAGTGAAAACCAGTATGCAGCAGAAGTAAGTTGTACTTGGTGCAGGTTTTAAATACAACCAGTGCTTAGAAAGGGCAGTATCAGTGAGAGCAGAGGGAAGGAACAGCCTGAGCAATAGCATGGTGGTAGGAAAGATCTTGGTGTGTGGATGAGACAATGAAGATGCCAATTTATCTACAGCATATTTGTGATGATAAGTAATAGCTGAAATAGGCTTGGGGGTTAAGTTTGAACAGCCTTGAAAGCTGAACAAGCCTTGATTGATAGAGAATAGGGAGCTGTTGAAGATTTTATTAATATGATTTGATAAAATATTATGTATATGATAAAATATTACGACAACAGTATGAAAAATGGGTTGAAAAGGCTAGACTTAAGGCAGGCTGCAAAGAGGTTGTTAGAATAATTTTAGGCATGACTAAGACTTAGAATTCGGAGTAGGAATACATGTAAGAGACCTTCAAAGGATAAATGGGCAGATTGGTAACTGACTAGATATAAGAGGGGCTGTTCCTTGCCAGGTATGTCCTATGTGCACAACCTCACAACCCTGTGATCCTCCTAGCTTTGTGTGATAGAAATTATTAATTTCATTTTACAGATGAGGATTGAGGCTCAGAGAGTAAGTAATCCAAGATCACACAATAAATAATGGCAATCCTGGGATTTAATTTAAGTCTGTCTGTTCCAGAGCTGCAGTACATCCCATTAGCCTATTCTGGCACAAAGGAAATGAGCCACAGGGATTCTAATCTTTCTAACTGGGAAGATTGTGATTCACGCCTTTGAATAGAATAGAAGTTGGAATACAGAGCCCATTTGGGAAGAATAATGATGAGTGATTTTTGAATTATTAAGTTTGAGGTTATAGTGAGCATCCATTTAGAAATATTTAGTAAATGCTGAAGTTGTGTAATCAGGGCTTTTGTGAGAGAACAGAATTCAAGAGAGATATTTGATAGCTATTAGCACAGAGATAATCTGTGATACTGAGAGAATAAGTGAGGGACAGTCTGTTAAGAGGGAACATTCAGGACACCAAGCCTTGGAGAATGGCCACATTTAGAAAATAGACTAGTCAGCAAAAGAAAAATAGGCATCAGAAAAGCAGGAAAAGGATGAGGACAGTATAATATTATGGAAACAAAAGAGGAGAGTTTCAGGGAGAATATAATCAGAAACAGCAGCATTATAAAGGAGAGAATAGTGAGAAAGGGCACAGAGTGACCTCTGCAATGTATATTTTGAATGGAATTTTCAAAAATAAAAGGGAGATGAACTTAATAATGTGAAGAAAGATTCTGTTCCAGGTATGTACAGCAGCCTAAGCAATAGGAAACCTTTCTTTTATTCACACTGGCTCACTGGCAAAATAAAATAAAAATATTTTGAAACGTAAAAAGTTCTTTTTTAAAAAAAGAATCATTTAAAATATTTCACTCAAAATACCTTTAGAATTAAAGACAAAGAATAAGCCTTTATTTACTGAAATTATAAAACAATTTTTTAAAAATTGATTTTTTTTTATAGCTAGTTAGAAGAAAAGATGTGGATAGGGAAAGACTAATATGTAGAAAAGGAAAAAAGCGCCTACCTTATAAAATATGTATATTAAATTACATTTATGTATATTTTTTAATGTTTAATTGAAATAGGGAGAAACTCACAGATACCCACAGAGATTCACACTGCACTGAAAGCTAAGGTTGTAAAGAAACACTTTCATCCAAATAATTCATATGTTAAGTGACTTTTTTTTTTTTTTGTCTTTTTTCATGACCGGTAATGGGATCGCAACCCTTGGTGTCGCGCCCGCACCGCGCTCAACCAGTGAGCGGACCGGTCTCTACATGGGATCCGACCCCTCGGTGGGAGCGCCGCCACGCTCCCAAGCCCCGCACTCTACCGAGTGCGCCACCGGGCTGGCCCATATGTTAAGTGACTTTTTTTTTTTTTGTCTTTTTTCATGACCGGTAATGGGATCGCAACCCTTGGTGTCGCGCCCGCACCGCGCTCAACCAGTGAGCGGACCGGTCTCTACATGGGATCCGACCCCTCGGTGGGAGCGCCGCCACGCTCCCAAGCACCGCACTCTACCGAGTGCGCCACCGGGCCGGCCCATATGTTAAGTGACTTTTAAAGTCTTGTAGTTTTGTGACTGTAGGGAGACAATACTTACCCATTACATAAATAGTCCAAACTAAATGATTATAAGATAGCCTTTGTGGAAGCAGAGGAGGGTGATGGCTCTTGATATGTAGTGTAGGTCTGACACCGTTATTCTGTAAGCCTGGTATCTAATGAAATTAAATATTTTCTGTGAAATATATTGCACTGTCTCCCCACCCTCAACAGATTAATGTTTATAATTATGTTTTGTTATTCTCTACTCGTCGGTTGAATTTGGAGAGATGTCATTTAAGGTAATGTGATGGTTAACTTTATGTGTCCAGAAGACAGGCCTTTCACCACAACTAGGAGAAATAAATTTGCAGTGGGAGCCCTAGCATCTTTGAAAAGCTCTTGTGATCGTTCTCCAATACAGGCCAGACCTTACAGTGGGAACTTTGGTCGTTGAATTGGGAAACCTAAATGCAGTGGGAGTAATTGGATCCCAGGGTGGCAGGGACCAAGCACTCACCAGCCAAATCAAGGTGGACAGCACAGTCAAAGCAGCAGTCAGAATAGCCTGAGTCTTGCACGCTTATGGCATTGATTATGGTGTTCCTAGTAGAAGTGAAATGGATAGGAAGCCTACTTGATTCTTACTTGATCTGTTCTAGAAAAAAGAGAAAAGATCTAGATCAAGTGAACAAAAGTCTGACCTGAGTCATAAAAGCAGAGAGTCATGGCCTATCAATCAGTTCCCAGACTTATAAGCCAGTTTACAGACCCAGAACTCCTTGAATGAAGGGGAGGATGGGTCCCCTTAAGGAACGACCCTGATACGCTGCCAAAACTTTATACTATTATTCTTTCTCCAGCCTCCCCAAAGGGACCTATGGTGTTTTAACAGGGTAACTGCATTAGAAGGAAAGGGAAAAAAGAAATAATAAGAAAATAATCAAATCTTTTGGGAACTACTGGACACTGGCTCTGAACCGATGCTAATTCCAGGAGATCCAAAATGTCACTGTGGTCCACCAGTCAGAGTAGGGGCTTATGGAGGTCAGGTGATCAATGAATTTTAGCTGAGGTCTATCTCACAGTGGGCCCAGTGGGTCCTGGGACCCATCATGTGGATCTCAGTTTTGGAATGTGTAATTGGAATAGACATACTCAGCAGCTGGCAGAATCCCTACACTGGTTCCCTGACCTCTGGATCAAGGGCTATTACGGTGAGAAAGGCCAAGTGGCAGTCACGAGAACTGCCGCTACCTAGGAAATTAGTAAAACAAAAACAATACAGCATTCCTAGAGGGATTGCAGAGATTAGTGCCACCATCAAGGGCTTGAAAGATGCAGAGATGGTGATTCCCACATCCCCATTCAGGTCTTTTATTTGGCTAGTGCAGAATACAGATGGATCTTAGAGAATGACAGCAGATTATCAAAGTTTAACCAGGTGTTTGCTCCAGTTGAAGGTGCTGTACCAGGTGTGAACAAATTAACATATCCCTGGTACCTGGTATGCACCTGTTGATCTGGCAAATGCCTTTTTCTCCATACCTGTTGATAAGGACCAGCAGAAGCAGTTTTCTTTCTTTTTTTTTTTTTGTTTTAAAAGATGACCGGTAAGGGGATCTCAACCCTTGACTTGGTGTTGTCAGCACCAGGCTCAGCCAGTGAGCCAACCGGCCATCCCTATATGGGATCCGAACCCGTGGCCTTGGTGTTATCAGCACCGCACTCTACCGAGTGAGCCACAGGCTGGCCCAGAAGCAGTTTTCTTTCTTTTTTTTTTTTTGTTTTAAAAGATGACCGGTAAGGGGATCTCAACCCTTGACTTGGTGTTGTCAGCACCAGGCTCAGCCAGTGAGCCAACCGGCCATCCCTATATGGGATCCGAACCCGTGGCCTTGGTGTTATCAGCACCGCACTCTACCGAGTGAGCCACAGGCTGGCCCAGAAGCAGTTTTCTTTCTTTTTTTTTTTTTTTTTAAAAGATGACCGGTAAGGGGATCTCAACCCTTGACTTGGTGTTGTCAGCACCAGGCTCAGCCAGTGAGCCAACCGGCCATCCCTATATGGGATCCGAACCCGTGGCCTTGGTGTTATCAGCACCGCACTCTACCGAGTGAGCCACAGGCTGGCCCAGAAGCAGTTTTCTTTCATCTGGCAGTGCCAGCAATATACCTTCACTGTCCTGCCTCAGGGGTGTATCAAATCTCCAGCCCTATGTCACAATTTAGTGTGCAGAGATCTTGATAGCCTGTACCTTCCACAAGATATCACACTGGTCCAGGAGAGCCATTGGTGTAGTACCAGTTATTACTAATACTTGTCAACAGCTAATTGTCAGCATTGTACTAAATGTTCTACATGTGTTTATCTCAGTTATTCCTCACAAAACCCTTGAAGAGTAGGTTGAATTCAGAGCTATGTGCCTACATACCCCTTGAGACAGTACTCACATAATCTTTATATGAATGGCTCCTCCTTCGGATGTGTGGTGCTGTAGCCTTAGTTATATATTATTATTATATACAAATAAGGAAACCAACACGCATGGACGAATTAAGTAACTTGCCTGTAGGCACACAGCTAGGAAGAGGAGGAGCTTGAATTTGAACCTAGGCAGCCTAACACTGCCTCTGTAAACTTATTCAGTCAAGCTGTAGCCTTCTCTTTTTCAGCTCATATGTTTACACTCAGTATGAAGTAAAGAGGATGAAGGGGGAATAACTTTTAAAAGTATAGTATCAGTATGAGATGGGAAGTTTAAATTTGTAGTGGCTTCACTCTGTTTCAGTTCCTGGGTATTTTTTATAATATGACCATCTTACTACAGTTAGTGTAAGTGTTGAACAATTAGATTTTTCATATTATCTGTCCCCTAAATGCATGTCAGGTTCTTTATCTGGTATATAAGAAGACTAGCAGTAATATGTTCCATCACTGGAGGAAGAACAGCTGTGTTGGACTTATCTCTGATAAGATACCTTCATAAGGCATTTTCAAGAGTATTATAAAACTATATCCAATTTTTGTCTAACATGCTGACTTTAGAAACCAAGCAGGTTACGTCTGACTTCATAGTACTCTGTCTTCCTTAGAAGCATATTAGGGGCTGGCTGGTAGAATGTGGTGCTGATAACACCAACGTCCAGGGTTTGATCCCTGTACCAGCCAGCTGCCCCCCCCAAAAAATAAAGTGGCATGGTAGGAAGATAACAGCAGCAGTGGTAGTATAGTTCTCTCTCTCTCTCTCTCTCTCTCTCTCTCTAGTTTCAGGGCACAGCACTGAAGCAGCATAGTTTTCAGTTTCTCTGAATCACCACATAAAAACACAGAGCAACTAAATGTTAGATAAGAAGGTAGCCTAGGCATTATGATTTTTTTGTGATAATCTTCCCACTCCACTAATAAGCAAGAGCTAACTTTTAATAAATTCTTGAAAACTGGGAGGACCTATAGAATTGTTCAACATTATGAAATTATTCTGTTGTTGAGCATTCTTTTATATGTTAGCACCATATTAGCCTAAGAGTGCACAGCGTAATTCAATATAGAAAATGTCTCAGTATTTTTTTCTAATAGTATTTTTTTCCTGATTTTAAAAACAAAACTTGTTTATTATAGAAAATTTAGAAACAAAGTATAGAAATTAAAATAAAAAATCTGTTATTCTATTCCCCAGAGATACCACAAATGATATTTTGGTATGGCTTTTTAAAAATACTTTTAAATAGGGAAAATATAGTTTTGTACTTCATGTTCTCATCTCATGCTCTGTACTCACAATCAGGCCGTAGATTAAGGACATTTAGGATCCTGATCCCTTTCAATGTAGAATTCATTAATATTTCAGGATTTTTTTTCCTAGGTGGACTACATCATGCAGCTGCCCGAATTTCTGGTGACAATGTCTATAAGCATTTGAAGTATGAAGGTGGGATTCACCGAGTTCAGCGAATCCCTGAGGTGGGCCTGTCATCAAGGATGCAGCGTATTCACACAGGAACAATGTCAGTTATTGTCCTTCCTCAACCAGATGAGGTAACCTCACAGCGGGCATTGAAAACTTACTCCATGTACACAAGTATTATGCTGGAAGCCTTAGCTTCTAGGAGAATCTGTTCTTTTCATGGTAACAGATTGGACTTTATAGTCTCTGATGGGAAATCTTTAACTCTTCCCATGGTAAAGTTTGCCCCTCTTATCCATGACCAAGATGCTTTGTTTTGTTTTGTTTTATAAAATGGAAGTCACTTCTTTTCAAAATACAGAATCTACATAGCTTGTTTAATGTTGTTGCCTAAGTTTTATCTTAAGAAAAACAATGACTTTCCAGGTAATATTTTAAGGTCATTGATGTAATATCTGTATGGTGTCCATATTTCTTTTTAGTTGAATACAGCTGTCTTCCCTGTATTTTTCTTTTCCATAACCTTTTTTCTTTTTTTAAAGTACAGAAAGTTGAAAGAATACCACAATGAAAATTTCCTAATCTTCATCTGAAGTCAACAGTTTACATTTTCTCTCATTTGCTTCATTCCTATATACAAGCAATCTTCAAAAAGTTCATGGAAAGATTCGTAGTATATTTTGATTCTGTTTTTCCACAAACCTTTTGAAGTATATGTGTATATATATATTTTTAAAGACTTGTAAAGGATATTGCAGATGCCATAAGACTTTACCTCCCAAATCTTCCACATACCTCTCTTAAGAATAAGTACATTCTCCTGCATAAACACAATACCATTATCTATGAAAATCAACCATAATTGTGTAATATTATCTAATATCTAGTCCATTTCCCCAGTGAACCCTTAAATACTTCTATAGCTTTTTTTTAAAAACCAGAATCCAGTCAATTTTCACACAGTGCAATTAATTGTTATGTCTCTCACTCTGTAACAGTCTCCCAAATTTTTTTAAAAACATTGGCTTTTTGAAGAGTCTAGATTCTTACAGAGTGTCCCACGTTCCGGATTCATCTGCTTGTTTTCTCATGGTACTCTTTAGCTTGTTCCTTTATCCCCTGTATTATACTGAAAGTTATATCTAAGTGTTCCATGCCGTTCAGGTTACACTTTTTTTTTTTGGCAGCTGGCTGGTAAGGGCATCCAAACCCTTGACCTTGGTGTTACCAGCACCATGCTCTTCTAAGTGAGCCTAACCATCCAGGTTACATGTTTCAAGCAAGAATACTTCATAGGTGCAGTTATGGTCATGTTGCATCTTATCAGAAGACACATAATGTCCAATTGTCCCACTTATAGTGAAGCTTAATTTGAGCATTTAGTTAAGATGGTGACCACAAAAATATCTCCATTGTAAAAGTATATTTTTCCTTTTGCAAGTACCAAGTAACCTCTAGGGTATATATATATATCCTGTTCCAACAACCTTTTATCCATGGTTTTAATATCAAATGGTGATCATCTCCTGAATCAGTTATTTATTTGGTTTGGGTTGCGAGATGGTGATTTTCTGATTCTGTCATTCTTTCTACATTTATTAACTGGCATTGTTCTATAAAGAACTTTCCTCCCTGCTACCTTCTCTTCCCTCCCCCTTGCTTGCTTTCTCTTTTATTTGATCTTATTCTATAGTAACATATCAAGTTCCTCATTATAGACTCATGGATTTATGTTTAATTCAGTGAGTTATAATTATTATTCTTTTTGATGTTCAAATTGTCCCAAATTTGGCAGTAGTAGCCTTTATAGAGTACCCCTTTTGTCCATTTGAAATGACCCCATCAGTCTTTGAGTCTTGCTTTCTGGTACAGTTAGATGTTCCAGGCGTGTCTTGCACTATCCTGCCTCAGATCTAAATTGAGATACTAACATTACTAATAGTAAACTACTGAGTAATGTTCAAGACTTTTGTCCTTAGAATATATTGTGCCAAGAATGCATGGTGAGAGCACAGTGTTCAAAAACCATCTGAAATACTTTTGTGTGTGTAGTTATGTTTTCATTATGATAATTATATTGGTTCATTTGGTTTTGTTTGTATTTAATTTTAGGATTTGATTTTTCTTTCCTTTTTTATTTAATTTTATTTTTGGTGTAGGTAAACGTTCATATGATTTAAAATCAAAACCATAGAGTTGTCTTGCTTCCATCCTTATTCCTTCCACCCCATTCCCACCTACCCCCTTTTTTGTCTTCATATTCTTGAAAATGAAATTCATTTAGTGGAACTTCACTTTTCTAAAAGAAAAAGGTCATGTTCTGTTAATTGACATTCTTTGTACATTAGTAAGTCACTCTTTCTGTGTTCAGAATTTCCCCAAAGTCATTAGGTAGTTTCTGTGACATTTGGGAGAATATGACATATGATATCCACACATTTGCTGTATAACTACTTAATACTGTAACCAAAAAAAAGGGAAATTACTCTTAATCTCTTTAGTGCTTATTAAAATTTTAAGGTAAGCGAACACGGGCATATTTTTTAAAAAGCTGTATAATCTCTTTCTTCACTGTGTAATACTCATTTTAGAGGAAACATACAAAAGAACAACCAACTAAGCTTGACCCTATTGTTAGTGTACTTTACAAAGAGAAAGTCACATTTGCTATGTGTCTTTCATACAAATAAATGATAAATGTGGAACAAAATGTTAGATTTCCCCTCCAAAACAACATATGTGTAACTATTTGTGTAAATCTATATATATTCACATATATATTATATATATACAATTAGTTTTCTAAGACTGCTATAAGAAATTACCACAAACTTGGTGGCTTAAGAAACAACAGAAATTGAGCTGGCCAGTTAGTTCAGTTTGTTAGACAACAGAGTCAAGGGTTCAGATCCCCGTACTGGCCAACCACCAAAAAGAAAAAAAAGGAAACAGAAAGTTTATTTTCTCACAGTTCTAGAGGCCAGAAGTCCAAAATAAGTTGTCTGTAGGGCCGTGCTCTATCTGATGGCTCATATCCCCTTGCATCTTCCATCTTCTGATGGCTTCCTTGGCTTGAAGCTGTTCAACTCTAGTCTCTGCCTCTGAATTCACATGATGGTCTTCTCTCTCTTCTGGTTGGCTCTTATAAGGACACTTAACACTGGATATAGGGTGTATCCAGATTATCCAGGATGATCTCATCTTAACTCAATTACATCTGCAAAGACCCTTTTTCCATACAAGGTTCCCGGAGTTAGAACATGAACATATCTTTTTGAGGCCAACATTCAACCCACTAATAAATGCATGCACATACACACACACACAATTGATTTTCATTATTCACAGTAATTTTGTTTTATAAATTTGCAGCAAACACTGATTTAACAAATACTGAACCACAAAGTAGCAATGGTTCAGTATTCACTAAATCAGTATACACACACGCACGTACACACACACACACATTATAATCTCAAATCCTAAAAACAACCTATCCTGATAGATTTTATTTTATTTATTTTACAAAAGAGAAAACAAGGCCCAGATGTGTCAAGTGACTTGCCCAAGGCAGCCCCACTAATGGGTGCCAGAGCTGGGATTCAAACCCTGTCTAACTGGGCCTAGAGCTGGAGCTTCTTGCCCTGCCCTGCCCTATCGGTCTCTGTCCTCTAGTCATCTCTGTGAGAGCTGAAACCAGAAAGCAATGTCTCCTTGTCTGACTTCAGCTGGGAATGTGTGAATGTAGAGCAATTCAAATTTTTGCTGCTCTGTAAATGACCGCAATGACTGTATGTCTGCAAATGACTGTGAAAGTGCCAAAATCAATATTTGGGGGATACAAATAAATTTTAGTGAGTAGCTGAATTTGCAAATAGGGATTCGGTAATAATGAGAATCAGCAATATATACATATATTTTTGTATGTATTTTGTGTGTTATATGTATGTAATTGTGGAATGATGGAGGATGAAACTTTTGAAAGATTATATAACTCTGATCTCATAATATCCTGTCAATGTTAAAAAATAGCATCCCTTTGGAATAGGGAGTTTATGGTTCTTTCTTTTATGGTGTTTATGGTGTAAGTTACTTCTCTTAGTTTAACGGCTGTAACTTATCTTAACACAAAATAGCACAGTTTATTTTTAAAATCCTGGAATAAATTTAGTAGTAAAGTGTTGATTGATTGTAGAATTTACTTATGCTATACTTTTGTTCTAGGTAGATGTGAAAGTGGACCCCAAGGATTTGCGAATAGATACATTTCGAGCCAAAGGAGCAGGCGGGCAGCACGTTAATACAACGGATAGTGCTGTCAGACTTGTCCATATCCCCACAGGTAAGCAAGTCCCTTGGCCTTTGTATTTTTAACCTTTTTTCACATCTTATAAAACTATTCAGGGCCGGCCCGTGGCTCACTCGGTAGAGTGCGGTGCTGATAACACCAAGGCCGCGGGTTCGGATCCCATATAGGGATGGCCGGTTAGCTCACTGGTTGAGCGTGGTGCTGACAACACCAAGTCAAGGGGTAAGATCCCCTTACCGGGCATATTTAAAAAAAAAAAAAAAAAAAAAAAAACTATTCAGCACTTGGAAGGAAATAGTTCTATGTCAGTGTCTGGTTCCTTACACAAACCTTTTAAAGGTGTGACTGTGGTTGTGGACCTGAGGTCCCTATTTGTGTTCATATTCCTCTTCTGTTTGGTAAAGGTACCTCTCTCAAAAGATGCAGTTGGTGAGCAGACCTATTCAGAGAAGCTGCCCAGGTATTCTGGACAGGGGTGAGCAGCCAGAGGTGCTCCGGCCTAAATACAAAAAAAACACAGAAGCAGTATTAGAAATGCCACTGCTGGGCCGGCCCGGTGGCGCACTGCTACAGTGCGCCACTTGGGAGCGCGGCGGCGCTCCCGCCGAGGGTTCGGATCCCACATACAGACCGGTTCCCGCTCACTGGCTGAGCGAGGGGCGGGCGCAGCACCGAGGGTTGCGATCCCGTTGCCGGTCCCGGTCCGGTACGGGCTCAACACTGAGGGTTGCGGTCCGTTGCCGGACATGAAAAAAGACAAAAAGGGAAAAAAAAAAAAGAAATGCCACTGCTATGGATCTCTGTCACCTTGTAGATCGACTCCTATTTCATTAGGCTCTGCTGCATTGATGCTGTTGTTTTGAATATTGGTAATTTTTGTATACTGTGAGATAGTTTTGCAGTCCTTAACGTGATTTTAAATATTTCTATCATTTTCTGATTTAGAAGATTTTTTTTTTCATTTCTTTTTCTTTTTGGCAGCTGGCCAATATGGATATCTTAACCCTTGACCTTGGTGTTACCAGCAGGACTGGTTACCACTTGGACATTAACCAGGTCAACTAACAAGCTAGCCCCATTTCTTTTTTTTTTTTTTTTCCCTTGGCAGTTGGCCAGTACGAGATTCGAACCCTTGACTTTGGTGTTATAACATGTGCTCTAACCAACTGAGCTAACTGGCCGGCCCATTTCTTTTTTTTTTTTGATTAATTTTTACATTACATTTATATAGTTTTTAAGTCTAATGGTAATGTATAACAAACAGCAGCTCCCTGGACCTCTTCTGAGGCACTCGTATTTACCCAGCTGTGTCCTGCCCAGCTATGGCCATTAGGCACCCATGCTATGCCACGCTATGCTATAGCCAGAACTCCCGCCCGGATGTCATACAGACCCAGCTGCAGCTGCAGCCCTGCATTTTCCCACACTGCAGTTGTCACAGACTGCTGTACCAGAATTTTACCACCCTGTTTCTGTTTCTCTCTTGCTGTAATTTTCCACCCTGAGACAAAGTCATAACCACATAAGATCACCCCCCTTGCCCAGTTACAAAAACCCAGAAATGCTATAATATAAAAATAACAGCCCTGATGCATTCGGGGCTTAGCCTTTGTGACTTTAGTCTGCTGAGCTAATGCTGGCATATCAATAAACTTTGTTTCCTGTTTTAAGCCTTGGTGTTTCCTGCCTCTCCCTGCGAGTTCACAGTAACTCACTGCAACACTTCCTTCTCTCCCTCTCTGTCTTCCTTGACCCTAAATTCCCATTTCCTAGAGGCAACCACTTTAAATTCTTTTAGCTATTTTTTCTGGTAATTCCCTCAGTTATTTCTAAATAGTAGGCAAATAGTGCTCTTCTAACCAATTAATTATAGAGATTATTTATTTACTTCTTGATGTGGTAAATGAGAATTTTGGCTCTTATATGCCCTCTTTTCCTTTTCCAAGTATTTGTATTTTGCCAAAATTAATCTTCACTGTTTTCATATAATGAATAAGTAAATAGTGTTGGCTGCTGAGCCAAGTAGTATACTATGATTTTATTTCCTAGAGTTAATAATTACCTCATTGGGGCCGGCCTGGTGGCGCACTCGGTAGAGTGCGGCACCTGGGAGCGCGGCGGCTCTCCCGCCGAGGGTTCGGATCCCATATATAGACTGGTCTGCTCACTGGTTGAGCGCGGTGCAGGCGCGACACCAAGGGTTGCGATCCCATTGCCGGTCACGGTACAGGCGCGACACTGGGGGTTGCGATCCCGTTATCGGTCATGAAAAAAGACAAAGAAGGAAAAATAATAATAATAATAATAATTACCTCATTGTTTTTTCATTTGCTTACTTTTCTTTGACTCTGAGTCTTCCTACATCTTCCAAAAGCTCTGTAAAATGAAACTAATCCATCTTCTACAGGGCCAATGCTTTTTGGAGACAGAACATTCCATCAGCTTGCTGCAGTCTGGCCTAGTTGCTCTCTAGAGAACTGCATAGATGTTGTCCTGGTCACCAGTGATGGAGGAATTCCCTTTATCTCTGTTCTGTGTTGGATCCTCCTGTTTCTTGGATTCCATATCGTCTCTTAATTTACTCCCTCATTTTAGTGAAGCTCATCTTTAAGTGGCTTCCTGACAAGATGCATGAGATGTAAATATTTTGGGACTTTATATATCTGAAAATAGCTTTACTCTAACCTCTCATTTCATTGATTATTCAGTGGTCATTCATTGGTTAGAAATCATTTCCACTTGGAACATTGAAGTCTTTTTTCATTTATTGTATTTGTTGCTTTCAATTTGGAGGCTTATGCCTTTCAGTTCTGAAATATTTTCTTCAATAATTTCTTAGTCAATGTTTTCTTTGTTCTTCCTGGAATTTCTGATAGTCAGATATTAGACATCTTGGATTTGTTATTTAATTTTCTCCCTTTTTTTCATGTTGTCTATCACTTTGTTTTTTGGTTCTTTTTCCAACCCTTTTACTGATTTTTAAAATCTATTCTTAAAAAACTTTTGGGCCGGCCCGGTGGCGCACTGGATAGTGCGCCGCTTGGGAAGCGCGGCGGCGCTCCCGTCCGAGGGTTCGGATCCCTCCTGGAATTTCTGATAGTCAGATATTAGACATCTTGGATTTGTTATTTAATTTTCTCCCTTTTTTTTCATGTTGTCTATCACTTTGTTTTTTGGTTCTTTTTCCAACCCTTTTACTGATTTTTAAAATCTATTCTTAAAAAACTTTCAAAAACTCTTGTTCTCAGAAGTATCCCTTTTTTATAGCATTCTTTTCTTATTTTGTTGGTTTATTTCTTCTTTTATTGCTTAAGGATATTAATCTTAGTATCCCTGAAGTTTTTTTCTGCTTTCTGCAATATCTGTTTCCTCACAGTTCATGTTTTGTTTGTTTCAGTCTTATTTTTATGTTGGAAATGTTCAGGAATCTTTCACTGGTTGTACACAGTTAACAGTGAGTTTCTAAAAGCTGTGAGCTGGCTGGATAGCTCAGTTGGTTAGAGTGTGGCATTGATAACACCAAAGTCCAGGGTTCGATCCCTGTACCACCAGCCACCAAAAATAAGATCAAAACAAAACAAAATTGGGGCTGGCTGGTTAGCTCACTTGGGAGAGCATAGTGCTGATAACACCAAGGCCAATGGTTCGAATCCCTGTACTGGTCAGCTGCCAAAAACAAAAACAAAAAATTTTAAAAAATAAAAGCTCTGAGTACATTTATTCACATATCCACTAGTAAGTTTCACTGTAGGGCAGTTAGACAATTAATCAGCTTTTTTATTAGGGATTTCCAAATGTCAGTGTTTATAAATCAAAAGATGTGGATAGTTTTTTTTCTCCTAAGAAGGATCCTGCAGGAAATTCCTGAGAGTAAGGTTAAGGTCTCACTCTTCAATAAGCAGCGTTTTACTTAACCCTCTTGTTTTCAGTCCCATGCCCACACTTGCTCACCTTTGTACCTAGTCCCAAATCTGGAACTTTCTTGATTTAACTCCCCAAAGACTGTACTTCCCATCTCCTGCAGATTGAGGGAGGGGACTTGAGGATCTACTTGTTTTATACTTTCTGTTTTAAGCCCTAAGATCCTCACCCATCACTTCTGAAATACCTGGTGTTTCAATTCCTGAGCCTTTCTGGCCCTCAGCAGGGCATATTGACTGGTTTCTGATCAGCAGAAACTGGTTTCTGATGAGTTTGGTTTCACCGTCCTTCCCTCTTCTAAGTCATTTACCATTCTTCTATCCACTTTCTGTCTTTATATGTTGTGTTTGGGAATTACATACAACACCTAGTTTTATTTCAGATGGAGTTTGTGTTTGTTTCTTTTTCTTGTTTTAGTGTGATTTTTAAAAAGAAAAGGCCATCATGTAATCAGATGTCACTTTTAAATTTTAAATTCATTTTTGACCAATTATGATTGCTTGTACTGTTTATAATAGCAAAAGTTAAAACAACCTAAATATCCCAAAATAGGATAATTTTATAGTTTCTCTTCAGTTTTCAATATTTATTGATTTGTATTCCATAAGAAACTGTAAAAAAAAAACTTAAAATATATACCTGAGAAAGAACATAAAACATTTATAATGATACCTGGTAACCATTGTTGATATATATCTTTGCTGTACAAGGGTACTTCAAAAGGTTTGTGGAAAATAGAATTAAAAGATAACACGAATCTCTCCACAGACTTTTTGAAGAATTTGACTTTCAAATTCTTTTCTGTGCATACATAAATATATCATTTTTCACCAAAAATGAGGATGTGCTTTTTGTAGGTTATCATAATTTCCTTAAGTGACACAGATTGTCAAATACTTAGTGTGTTTCACCCTGTACTGTTGAGTATTGTCCTATATTATAAGAAGTCCAGAATAGTAATAATTAGCTTAAGATAAATTTGAAATTAAAATGAGGGAAAAAAATAGGGTAAAATATGATCAAAGTTCTGACAAAATGTATCAAAGTACTTTAAAACATATCAAAGGATTATAAAACCATCCTGTGCAGCAATAAATTGCTGACTTTACAAA